AAGATGGGCAGCGACCGGGCGCGCGCAATGATGCGCGAGTACGGGGTAGACGCGGGCGACCCAAGACGCACGGGAGTAGGCGTAGCAAGGGCGGTGTGCGTGGGGCACAAGCGCGCGCGATTCCGCGCGCGACAAGGATTAGGTCTCGAGAGGTCGGCGCGCTCGAGAAGCGGCGTGCGTGCGGTAGGGCGGTGCGCGAAATAGAAGGCAGCCGAGTGTTGGGCGTGTGGATTGGATTTGTTTGGAGTGCAAGCCAAGCAAGATCAAGATCTAGTCAATTTAGGACTCTAGATATTTAGTTTCCTTCTTGCACAATAGTATCAAGAATGTTTAGGAACTTAATATTTTATTGCTTTAATATGTTTCCTAGGTAGATTAGAATTAGTCATAGTTAGGATCTATAAATAGGGATGTCCCCTCATTGTTTTGAAGGTCGAGGAAGTGAATAGAAAAGGAACGTTTGTTCAAACCGTGTGTTAGGGTTCATGAGAATTCAATCATGCAACCGAATTGGTGAGGCTAAGACCCAAGCCAGTTCAAACGAATCAGAGAGGCTAAGACACGATCTATTCGAGAGTGAAGCAAGGCTAATACCCGAGTGAACTCAAGTATCGTGAGAGAGTTAGGCTAATAACCGAGTCGATCACACCTATCGTCGAGAGCAAGGCCGTGGCGAAGCCGTGATCGAGACAAGTCGAGGACACGCAACACCCGATCCTTCATCATTGGTGCTTTCATTGAGAGTGATTGATTGGGTGATTCGTGAACTTTTTCTATCCCTTTCTTTTCGTTTTTGGTCGATTGAGGGTTCGAATTTCTTCGAATTTTTACCCAAAATTTTCGAATTTTTGTCTTAAAAAAAAAAGTGTCATCTAGTCTTTTGTTATTCTTTCCTCCCCTAGGTTCGAATTTTGTTCGAACTCTTCTTTTTTTCGAAATTTTTTAGGGTCTTAAAAAAAAAGAGAGAGTCATGACGAATCGTGAGAGATTCGATGCACTTGAGGAAAGCGTGAGGTCCCTTGGCAACGGAAAGCACGTAGTCAATGAAACATGGCAAAGTTGGAGCTAATGATACACGACTTGGCGGGACAACTCGAGAGAGTCAACCACCATACGCGGAGGAGCCGCACATCGAGATCAACCATGGCGGGAACGGACAGTTCGGCGTCTAGTCGCGATGACGACGACGAACGGTCGCGGGGAACGCGCGCGACGCGCAGTACCCGACACCACGGCGATCGCAGGGCGCATGGCCATCGGCATCATCGCGAGGAGCACATACGTGCGAAACCGAAGATAACGATGCCAACGTTCGAAGGAGTAGATCCGGATGCTTGGTTAAGTCGTGCCATGCAATATTTCGAGATCAATGAGGTACGCATGTCTGAAAGAGTCCAAATTGCTGCCTACTATCTAGATGGTGAAGCCAACACATGGTGGCAATGGGTGTCACATGTTTACAAGAACAAAGGCGAGCAAATCAGATGGCAAGATTTTGAGAAGGAAATAATTGCCAGGTTTGGATCTAGCGAGTA